AGTGAAAATCTCACAATAAAGTGTTTTTTGAGTACGTCAATAACTATTAAGGTTGGTTTTCGATCAAATCATACATGGATAACTATGTGAATATAAATGCGATATATAAAATATTTTGATTTTTTCAAAGAAATACTGAAGCACAAGAAATAATCGGATACTTCTAGCTTGGTAATGCAAAGCAAAATTTCACCAGCGTGAAAGTTGAATTAATAGTAGAAAAATAGGATATTACTTACAATTTCTCTTGAATAAATTCTAGTAAGTCTTCTAACAAAGTGTTCTTTTCTGAATGTCTCAAGGAATAAACGGATTGAACATTCACACTGGCAGTGCTGTGTTTTGATTTACTCACTATCCTAATCTTCTAGAGGAATATAATTAGCATAAAGGACCTCCAGATTAGGTGTCTGCCTCTGATCGTGGGAATTTCCTGACATTTTGCTAATCTTTTACGAATATAACACGATGAAGTGTATAAAATTTGAACCCTCATTTCTAATTTCTCAGTAATTGTATTATCATCGCAAGCCATAATGCCCTCAAGACTGATAAGGGTTGATGTATTTAGACAAGAGTGATTGAAAATTAATATCACAATTTCGTCAGAAATAATTTGCAACATTTGAAATCTTTCATAAAATACTCAGATAGTTCACGGTAACTCATAGAAAAAGGCTCAAGTAAGTTTGACATGATATGGAGATATTATCAGTGCGCTGATCAAAAGTACCTGTCAGTAAATTCTAATACAGTTTGGAAAATTGCTGAAATTACTTACAGTCTAAAATCCGAATTAGAAATGACCCTAATTCAACTGTATAATCGATGAATATGACATGAGTGTTAAAAGTAATTTTTTATTTTTTAAGTGAAAAAGTTTGCGAAACGAGCGTACCGGGTTGAACAATTTCACGAACAAAATAAAACTTGCTTTTAACACAAATATCATACAAAGTTTTCATAATAAAATAGATAAATTCAAGATTTCTATAAAAACACATTTTGACATCTCTTATCAGTTATAACTATTTTCATGTTATCGCATTTGCCGTGAAGTGGCCGTGTCAGGTGACCCGAATCACCTGGTTCCAACAAACAGTATTGTTTTATTCAAAGTCACATTTGAAGTTCTTGCCGGTATTTAATGTCTTGCATAATGAAGAACAAGACGATATTGAAGAGGTTGCAACAAGAGCTTCAATTCAATTGTTATTAAAAAAACCGGCTCAGCAGTACGACATCGCATATTCTCATTTTCTTAGCTGGTGTAAAAACGTCGAAAGAAATTTCAGTGAAACCGTCTTCTAAGCCTATCTAGAAGAGAAATCAAATATATGGAACTTGTCAATTTTATAGAGCAAGTTTTCAATGATAAAGTCGAGTGCGCTCGAGAAAAATAAGAATAGAAATTTATTTATACTGAACAACAAACAGAATGGTTTCCACTTACATGATATACAGTTTTTTCGAAAGTTCCTTACATATAGTATTCATTGAATACCATTGATACAGTTGAAATCTATATAAAATATTACAATATAAAACAGTAAATAATGAAATAGCCGTAAAAATATTCAGACACATTTGAGCATTCGGAGGAGTTGTCCCTCTGTAATACTGAATATATTCAGTTCACAGTTCCTCGCCATTTTGTTGACTGTTTCGAGACATTGTTGAAGAGGAGACAAATTGTTTGAGATACGAAATAGATTGTCTCTTCTTCTCGGTCTTACGTCTGGTACAATAAAATCAATATTATAGAGAATTTCAGGTACTTTCTGTTCTCTAAGAATGTTAAAAACAAAAATTACTTCCGAGGACTCACGGCGGTCTTTCAATGGTTGCATGTTAAACTCTTGTAATTGGCTAGAATATGATATAAATAAAGGCCAAAAATTGTGTTTCCTGAAAAAGAGTGTTCTTAATAATCGTTTCTGGACTTTTTCTATAGTTTCAGAATATGAAAAGGTCTTTGGATTCCAAATGACACAACCATATTCCAGCTTAGAACGAATAATGGAGTTAAAGAGTAACAAACAAGTATCGTTATTGAATTCACGGCTAGATCTTAAGATAAAGCTCATTTTTCTATAACATTCAGATACTAAGTATTCAATGTGCCCAGAGAAACTGAACACACCAGTAAAAATGATCCCGAGATCTTTCATCTCATTGATTCTCTGTAAATTGGTATGATTAATGAAATAGTCCTTGATAGTGGGTGACTTCTCTCGTGTGAAACTCATTATTTTGCATTTAGCTTCGTTGAGAGATAGGTCAGACACTGAAAAGTAAGTAGATAGATTATTGAGATCATCTTGAAGCATATCAGAATCGTTTTCGCTTTCAATTCTTCTAAACAAATCTTTCTATTCAAAATCTGTTTTTCCGTTAATCAGCTGTCGCCCCCATACGAACGACAACTCTCAGAAGTTGAGAAACTTGTGCAAACTAAGGACTAACGAGGTCTTACCTTTTAACGTGTTATTCCTAACACGGTTGCAGAATCATCCCAGCTTCAACCAGATAAATTCTCTCGAGAAAAATATCTGGTCGAAGCAGGAATCGAACCCACTGTCTTCCGATCGTGAGTCGGAAAAATTTCACGTTTCACATTTTTGGAGTCTTGAGCCCCGATAAATTCAGGAGGGCGCACTTAGCAAGAGCAGTGAGCCAAGAGTGACAATCTTCTGCATCTGTCCGACTGAGATTTCTGCCCTAATGCGTCAAGCCGGTATTATTTTGAGATTCGAGAGTTGAGAGGGCATCATTTCACCAAGGACTCCAATAATCAGAACAACCATCTTGACAGAGTGGTCTGGATAGTGTCTGCGAAGTTCGAAGAGAAAATTTCGATATTTTATTCGTTTTTCCTTCTCTTCTCGGATGATATTCGTCTCGCCAGGAGCGGAAAACTCCCAGACAAATATCGTCTTGGTGGTCGAGAAGGACTACATCAGACTTATTAGCTTGCATGAGCCCGATGGTGGGGAACGAATAGTTCCGATAAATTTGGCACTCTTCGTGTACCTATAACGGACTCAATATCCCCGAACCGTAAGGCAACACCGGTGTCTCTTCAATACCGTAAGAGCACCCTAGATGGTAATAAAGCACTCTTAGGACCGCGTTATGTCGATGTTTCCAACTCCAGCCCACTCGACCTGAGGAAAGCGAAAGTTAGGCGCTTTGATAAGCAGAAGTGAGGTGTTCTCTGCGACTTTTGCTACACCGTTTCCTACTCGGTGACAAAGTTGTTATCACCTTGTTCCGTGTCGAAAACTACCCGAGCAGCTGATGAAATGCTCCAATTCCTGCTCTCTCATGGTCGCGGACCATGCAGAGAAGAAGATCCGAACTCCTGACGACTTTACAGGCTCCATACGGTACCGTTCTGTCATGTGAACACTCCAAACTCAAACGTCCTCGGCCACCCTGTTGTTGGGGGACGTACAACCGTGGAACGGACGATTTGGGAATCAAACTCCTGTGGAGATACATCATTTTTTGGGTCTTTACGCGATTTGATACAGCTCCTCCCGAGTTCACTTCACTCCTCCAAATGAGTAGAGTAAGATTGGAACCGCAAGCATATTTGTTGCAGTAACTTTGTTATTTCCCAACAGTTCCAATGACCAGATCTGTCGGAGAGAGTTCTTCACTGCTGTTACCTCTTGTGAGTGGCGTTGTTTCACCCCGAGGTAAGAATACGTCTCTCCGGCATCCAAATGGTGTGAGATGCTTCCATCTACGAGCTGCCCATCCTCTCCGTAGTCACCGCATCGTCCTCTTTTAAGATTGACATTTGTCTATCTCGAATTTCATACCGATAGCATTCGTGTACTCTTCTACCACCCTTAAGGACTGATGGATATCCTTCTCTCCAGAGGCATAAAGTTTAAGATCATCCATATTAAACAAATTGGTGACCTTGTGCCTCCAGTTTCTAGGATGCCAGAGTTATACCCTCTAGTATTTCTGAGCGCAACGGATAATGGTAATAGTGAGATAAAGAAGAAAAGGGGACTGGTGGAATCGCCCTGAAATACACCCCTTCTGAAAGTAACCCACCATGTTGGGACACTGGCTCGACCAGATGTTATGGTGAAGCGATTCCGCCAGAGTGGTATCAGTTGTTGAAGGCATCTCACTATTTTATCGGGTACCGCAAGGCATCTGAGCAAATGCAAGATGAGCTCATGCGATGTTGTATCAAATGCCTTGCGGTAATCGATCCAGGCCATAGAAACGTTAAGCTTGAACTGTATCCTGCGTTACGCATCTATCGATGTACAGGTTCTCTTTACATCCAGTGACTCAACTCTCTGTTAAAAAAATCTGTTTTGCCGTTAACCAGCTGTCGCCCCCCCCTACGAACGACAATTCTCAAGGACTAACGAGGTCTTACCTTTTAACGTGTGATTCTTAACACGGAAGTATTCGTGTATATTCGTGTGTATTCGTTGAGTATTCGTGTGCATTAGATTTTTGTAAACAACTAATAACACGAATTTAAGCATGTTATCGGTCTCGTCATGTTATTTTCATTATTAATTATTATTACTATTTTACTTTCATTACCATCAAGTATTACTATCATTTCTATCATCTTCATTATCTAGAAAAAAAGTAAAATAGGTGATCAAAATTATCTTATACAGCTGCCTAAGAAATAGAAATTGTATTTAGAAAACCTTTTTCAAATAACATTTTCCATATTTTGAGTAATAACACCCTTCTGGATTGATTTCTTCAAAAAAAATTAGAGTTTGACAGATAATGCGAATCACATTAGTAGGTACATTTTTTGTGATATTTTTCATCTCAATGGAAGTAGAGATTGATGCCAAATTCAAATTATGTAGGTATTGAGCTAATAATGCAAAAATCCAATATGAAGCAGACTTTACTGGCCACACTGTATATGATAGTTTCAAATCACTGAATGAAAATTAAATTGACTCCAAACCATGAAATAAAATTATACATATACTTACAGGTTCATTTGAGTATGAGAGGAAACTCCTTCTGAACTAGTTATTTCTTCAAAACTCCATCCAAAGAATTTGGAAATCCCACGTTGTCAAACACCCGGTGTTAGTTGAAAAAAATAACCATCTAAGCTCACCACCGCATTGGAACTACAAAGTTAAACTGAAAACAATAACAAAATTTGTCCACGTGCCTCACATATTCCACTATTTTCGATAACTGACAGCAGCGGCCGGGACAGCTGATTCACGTTTTACGTAGTACATTGACCAAGGCAGTCAAATACGAAAGGTCTGCTTGTTTTTTCACGCCTGACGTGCCTACTCCGTTCACACACACATATTAATAATAATATGCCTAAAACGAACATAGTAAATGAAAATATTGAACACTTATTGATTTTTCCCTAGCACTATTCGTATTTGAAAGGTTTTGTGAATGGGAAAAGTAAAACGAAATCACATAAAGTGACGTACAGTCATGAGCGATAGGATAACCTTCCTTTTCATCTGTGTACACTTGGTTTTTAGCCGGGGGAAAACAAACGAAGCTTGACCATTGCCTTATGATGTAACGATATATGTTGCCAGATGTAAGAGACAACATATGATACGTTGACTCACTTAGATAAAAAGTTATTGTTCAGTTATATACGATAACATTTCATGTAATGAAAATTTACGAAACTGATAAATATTTTTTCAATATTTAGGTACTGACCTTATTTCTAAAATATTTCGCTGGGGCCTCAAATTATTATTTTCATTCACAATGCAAGATTGCCTGAACATCCACTTGGGAAGACGGATGTGTATAACCGAGCAGATAGCTGTTGTCACAATATATTTCTTGTGAATTATTTTGATAATCGTCATAAATATGGGAATTTTCTTCAAATCTGGAATCAAAAAGTATTTTAAGATACAGATTCAAACGTAAGAGTTATGTCGGAGTTTCGTTTCTGATATGGTGGTGGGCGGACGTGCCGATAGATTAGGTTAGGTTAGGTCCAAAGTGAGTGGGTCTATCCGACCTTCCACCGCAATCCTCAAAGGTTTATTGTAGCTCACACCTATTCACACTCGACCAAATAAACCCAGCTTCTCAACGAAGTCGATTAGTTGGTATGGTGAGTGGTTTTTCAGGTCAGATGGTAAGATTATGGATCTGCGAACTCTAAGAAACTGATTCAGTCCCTAGCAGGACAGGCACAAAGTACGTGTTCTGCTGTTTCATCGTTTTCCAAATAGAGGCGACACCCACCGCCTTCCAACAGTCCGAGTCTCTGCATATGATGATTCAATTGACAGTGACCTGTAAGAAGAAAGCCATCCTCGCCAGCACGGCCATGGATCCATCGTCAACAGCGAAGGTCCATGTTTGACCAGTGCCTGACTTTTCCTTGTGGAGAATAGTCCACTCCAAGTTTGACAGACCATGGTTCATTTTCCTCAATCTAGTGAGGACCTGGTGGTCGGAGGTCAGTCTGTGACTGTCTCCGTCAGGTAGGTAAGCAACAAAGATGTGTGACTTCGGAATTTGATCCCCTGTGACTCATTTCAGAGAATCGCCCTCTCACGTTTGCAGGGTATTAACTACACCCGCAAGCCAGTCGGCGCTAACCTGATTCTCACAGACGACCTGTAACCATCCAGGCCGTAAAACGCAGCGCTGGAATTGTACCTGTGGCCCATCCTTTGGATTAACCTCTACAACCGACAAAATAACCTCCTGAAGAGATTCCAGCTGATTGGCCGTTAATGAGGTAGTCGGATAGTCAAGGTGCAAAATTCTCACCTTGATACCCGCGACAACCTTCCCATATGAGGGTTTTTGCACGTCACCTATACCTGACGATGCCTTAGATTCAACCGTGCAGGGCTTTTTCGCCTCTGGTTTCGGTGAATTATCAGAGTACAAACGTTTGCTAACCCCCTCATGGCGAGTTTGTTCCTCCACCTGAGATAGATACTGCGTACGCCGCTCAAAAATTTGGTGCAAGGCGGTTTCATAAGGTACTCCGCTCTTGAGGAGACGACTTAGTCGTTTCCTGGCTGCACCACCAAACCTTTTTTTAGGTTCAGTTATTGGATCAGGAGTTGGAGAGTTGAGAAGCTCTCGCTCCTGATCTAAATTTACAGGGAGGTCAGTTAGAGTCGTAAGCTCGACATCCATCTCATCTGTAGACTCAACGTTAGAAAAAAATTTAATCTGTTCATAAAAGTCCCACGAATAGCTAGGGAAAGAAGGTTAATCACGGCAGAACCCCGCATTACCATGACAAGGCGATGCTACGACGAGAGGGCGCCCGGTATCTTGAAGGTTCCGTTAGAGACAGCTGATAGGTTCAGTGTCATTCATCCTCTCGGCATGGATACACACACTATAGGATAAGGTCATCGTTAGAATGCAATACATTTAGGTAATAACAGAACCACAAGTAATTCTGTCATTCCCGTATCCAGCGGGGCTACGTGGAAGCAGGCATCCGATGGCCGGTTTGCTCAACCCCCACATCCCAAGCCAATACACTCGCCAAAAGCAGCAGGCACAGTGATTCAGGCAGTGAAAGATGAACAAAGACAGTCAACCCGCCGACGTGCCGATAACGACCGCCTCCAAAGAAGGTACGCGGATGCCATTGAAGATGAAACTCAGTTTGTGTTGTAAATGTTCGCCGTTATAAAACGTGCCACTATCAAAATAAATATTTTGTGAAAGTCTTATAGGTGTTTGAAGAGAAAAAGCACTCTCATTCACGACGGTTGGACGCCAGGGTGGACCGGACATCGACGTGGGAGCGTTAAAGTAGTTTTATATAACATCTACCCGCATTCACGCCGGTTACAGGCCGGGTTGGACCGTATGTCCACGTGGGAGTGCTAAAGTGGATTCATATAACATCTACCTCCATTCACGCCGGTTACAGGCCGGAGTGGTCCGGTTATCCACGTGGGAATAGGATCGTCAGTTGAACGAAAGATATGTGGAAAAAATCAAAAGATCTCCCGAGCAGGAGGCGACTTGATAACTCGATAAAAAAGTTTAATTTGTTTTCATAATAGAGAAGTTTAACAAAAAAAAGGTGGCAGCTTCGCTTCCAGGAAGTCAGCTGTGCTCCCTTGAAGAAGCTACTGTCAACTTTGATAGGAGGAGGATGACAAATGCACCCGAGTGGAAAGCAACGTCCAATAATCTTAGTCCAGAAAATGAAATCTTCCTTACAGTTTGAAGCAACATATCGATCAAAATGGTTATTCATTAGGTTGTTTAAAGCGTTTTGTCCGTTTTTATGAGTCTACTTTGAACTTTAATATCTCAGTGAATAATTATTCAATTCGATCGAAATGAGCGCCATTTGAATCAGTACACTTTTTCCAACGGGATTCGATGAAGTCGATGCTCGGGATTCGATGAAGTCCATGCTCGGGATTCGATGAAGTCAAATAAGGCCGTTTTTGCTGGGTCCTGATTGGCGAAGGTTCTACCGGTGAAAAAGTTATCGAAGTACTTGGAAAGATGGTAATCGGTTTGTAAGAGGTCTGAGGAGTATATAATGGGTAAGGCAGAACTTCGACACTCAGTCCGTTTCATTCTCGGACGGGATTTGTGAAACGTGCGCAAGAGCGTTATCGAGGAGCAAGATCGGACCTCTTCTGTTGACCAGTGTCGGCTGCTGCTGACGCAATTTTCGGTACATTTCGTCGATTTCCTCACAATTGGACCTTCCTGTGATGATTTGGCCCGATTGCAGAAAGGTACAGAGAATCACACCAGCCGCTGACCACCATACAGTAACCATGGTCTTTTTGGTGGGTTTCCGCCTTGAGAAGAGCCTGGTTGGCTCATCGGTGTCCAATCACTGTCGTGGACGTCTCCTGTTGTCGTAGAGGATCCATTTTTCATCACATGTGACGATCCGATCCAAAGAAGAATCATTTTGTTGCGCAAAAGCAAAGAACAAACTTCGAAGCGTGACAATCGTTCAATCATGGAACACCAACTCTTCGAGTTCTTTGACCTTTCCAATACGTTTCAAACCATCAAAAAATGCATGTAAGCTGACACCTAGTTCTTCGCACTGTTCGTGATGGGTCAGTCTCCACCAGCGTCCTCAAATCCTCGTCCGGGATTATTGTAGTTCGACTACTTTGGGGCTCATCTTCGAGGCTGAAATCGTCGGAACGAACCTTGATAAACCAAAGTTGAACAGTGCATTCATTGCCAAATGCCTGATTGATTTTTCGGGCTATTTCGGCAGCGCTTTCATTAAGTTCAATTCGTAGAGAAAAAATGGCCAGAAATTGCTTAATGGCATCATATACAAGCTGAGGCAAAAAATGAAATTTGGTAAAACATGAACATCATCAATGTACCTATAGAGAACACATTTTTTTCGATTAGTATACACCACGACACAGCAATATACATATTTATTGATACTCAATAATAACAGTGTTATCAGTGTTACGCAAATAAAATGAACCAGTTTAATGAAATTAATGTGTCTAATTTTCACTTGTTAATTTCATTTATACGACTGGTTCCGGGTTTAACTCCAATATCAAGTATAAAAATAAATGTGAAATTTGAAAACTCGATTATATCGGGAGTTTTTAGGTAAGATGGAAGGACGGGTAGTTAATCGAACCAGGGTGCCAACTTTTAAATTCAACACTAAAGATTATATAAATTCAAGACTGGAAACCTACATAAATCGAGTTACTCGTTTAGGGATATATATTTCAGGTTTTTAGTTGATTTGTTGATTTCCATGGCTTCCAACAAATTCATTTTTTCCCTTTATTACATATGTGTAGGATTTTGAAGTTATCTTTACTTATCTTGTGTTATCATTCTTGAAGATGTTCATACAATGTAGATTTTTGTCCAAACAGATGTGTTCACGGAATCTTACGTCAAATTTTCTGATTTTTTCATTCTATCTCGTTTGGGTTTTGCATTGAACAGAGTTCTGACTAAATTATCATTACTTATGAAAGCTGTTGTTATTTTGTATTTAGAGAAGTAATTTTCTGAAAGTTCACCTGAATAGTTGATGCTTGTATTACACTGTCATCTCCATATATATTTTTTGAGTGTGATGCTTTTTTCTTAATGTTCTTGTATTGGATTGAATATATTTTTCTTTTTATGTAGTTGAGTAAGGTAATTTTATCTCGAAACAATTGTTTGCTCACTTATCGAGTAGGTATCATTTATGCAAAAAAATTATATTTGCTGTATACATTCTCTCTCTCTTTTCATTATTAAATGTTGTGGTGCTGCAGGTTTTTCCGGGTTTTCCTGCAGCTGAAAAAGCAAATGTGCCACTGGAATCAATGAAGTCGCCCCGGAGCGCCAATTAATTTTTGTTGTTTCATAATTTCATGATTTGTATTACTTTCTTTCAATACTTTATGAATTGAATTGTAATAATGTTAATGAAATTATTATTTTTTCAATCGAATACATTGGGGAGGGCGTGCCAGCATTATTAACCAATGACCACTCCCCACACCGTGGGGTAAGTGATCATTGGGTCAGAGAATCATGTGCCCTGAGCAAGCGCTGTGAGCCAAGAATGACAGCATTCTGCATCTGTGCGGCTAAGATTTCTGCCTCAGTGCGGCAAGCCGGTATGATTTTAAGATTCAAGAGTAGAGAGGGCATCATTCCACCAAGGCTCCAATAATCAAAAGAACAATCTTGACAGAGTGGTCTAGATTGAGTCTGCGGAGTTCGAAGAGAAAATCTCGATATTTTATCCGTTTTTCTTCCTCTTTTCGGACGATATTCGTCTCGCCAGGAGCTGAAAACTCAATGACAAATATCGTCTTGATCTGGTGGTCGAGAAGGACTACATTTGGCTTATTAGCTTGCATGAGTCTGACGGTGGGGAACGATTAGCTCCAATAAATTCGGCACTTCCCGTTCCCCACAACGGATTCTATAAGCCCCGGAGCGTAGGACAACACCGGTGTCTCGTCAATACCGTAAGAGTGCCGTAGATCAGAGGTTCCCAATTTTTTTGGTCTCGGAACCCTAATTGACGATATTTTTTTGGCGGAACCCTATTTTGATAACTAAAGAAATTACCTTGTAGTTCGAATATTTTTCATGTAAGACTTTAAAGAAAGGAACAAATTATAAATGAGAAATAATATTGTAAGCATAACAAAATAAACATGAACCCAATAAGCATAAACATAAAAACTCATTAAACAAAATAAGCATGAACTCAGTTTATGCTTGAGGAAGCTATTGTATAGCGAAACACGTGTCGCGGTTTTTGTAAAACCCTTTATAGTGAAAATTATACAATAAACTGAATTGATTAATATGAACCAGACTGAAAAGAAGGATTGTATTCAAAATAGTGAATTCAATAATGTAGGACAACTAGTACCAGGTGCATTTGAATGACGGCAATTCTCACAAATGCGATATTGCATTCTTAGACTATTACACCACATTTGAAGACTTCGTGATATTATCATCTGTTATGCGAACTTCTATCAATTCTTGAAATATGAAATTTACGTTCGATATGAAGATGCAGCTGAGTCACAAGAAACATACAGGCCGGTAATTTTAGCATGTGGTAAGATTGCTGTATTCTAAACCGAACAAGATATAAAGAGGATTGAATGGGAGAAAAAGTCAGTATCATGGAAAAAGTACGGTGGCCAAAAAAAATTTACAAGGACTTTTGCCATTTTCCAGTCATAAATGGAAAAGTAAAAATGCTGTTTATTACGAATAAAATTGTTATTTCAGAAAATATTAGGAAAATAGAAAGTGGAAGTTATAATGTAATCCAAATGTACTATAATTATGTAACAATAAGTATTCGTTTGAACGTTTCGTGTCAAAACGGTCACCATCAACTTTTTTTCGAATACAGACTTGTCTCGTTTTTAGAAATATCGATAAAGCTATAAAGTCACAATTCAGTGGTATATCGCACTTGGCATTCCTATAGCGTAAAGGAACATTAAGGTGCAACATTCTCAACAAAATGAATTGGAAACAATTGACCGATTGCCTGTCCAGCTCGATCCCCAGACATAACTCATTTATATTTTTTTTGTCTGGGGATACACAAAGGATAACGTTTTTTAGACAGCTAGTACAGATATCGACCACCTCAAAAAAAGAGATGCATGTACGCAGGGCCGTCGCCATGGGGGGATGCGAGGGAGCCTCCCCCTCTGCTTTTTCGACTTGGAAAAAAGTTGGGAAATTTTGGGCCGTGAAGATAGAAAAAAATAAGTAAAAAAATGAA